CCGCGCTTGGATGTTGCGCTTTCATTCGATTGTCTCGGCTGTCTACTAAGGCGTAATCCGAGACTTGGGACGAATCCGCGCGGAATAATGTTTGAAATACTCCCGGTGTTACTGGAGAATTCTTCCTCGGCCGTTTAAGTAAAGTTTTCTGATAAAAAAGAAAGGGTTGTTTGTATTTGTTAATATTCAAACTTAACGTTGAATGCCGCGCGATTTCCGTGGCAAAATACGCAAAGTGAACAAGATATAATATCAAATTATTTTCTTGAATTGTTTTATTACTATTGCACGTTTGCCAAATGTCACCGCGTTAGATTGCATGATTTATAATATAAGAAAATTTTCAAATAAACATCGTTTAATTGATTGAATTGTAGTAATTCCATTTGGTCGGTGGACACGGGTGAGCCACGCGGCGATATATCAAGCAAAACTGTACCTTAGATTTCTACAAATACTTCAACTATGTCAAGGCACAATTAGACAAACGAAAGTAAAGAAAGCTGTCGTCGCTAAGATTGGAACTACAACAATCGCATTGGACGTGTCAGCGACGCGTAACCGAATACACAATGGCGTATTTTACTTCCTTTTCCCTCTAAACTGTGAATCATTGTAGTCAACCGAATACTTTCGTGAGGGAAATCAGCGGATCGTAAACTCGAGGCGAAAAGCGGTCGTGCACGCGATATTAAAATGCGCTCAAAGGGACGTCCGCGATAGTGCGCCTGACGCAGCACGCGTGTCGCGCCGGGGAACGCCGGGAGGACGAATTTATTCGTTTGCGGAAGAAAAAGCACTCTCTCTGTTGGCACAACATTAGCACGAGAGAATTCATAGGGGCCGCGGCGGAGAGTTATGGCGGACACGTGCCGTTCCTCGGACACGTTCGGTGATACCTGGTTCGTTGCGGCGCGGCGTTTCGCCACGATTCACCCTCAGAGGGTCTCGAGAAGTAACCACAAGCTGGAGAAGATCCCGTCGATTCGTCAAGCAAACCGGAAGCCGAACGTCACGCGTTTCTAAAGAAGAATGCCGGAGAGAAAGAGAAGAAATGACGGTCAAGGCGTCACGTTTCGAATTCGGGGGTTGGAAAAGGTGGTTAATCGTGCGCGGGAAACGATTCCAATTTAAAAGAGGGAGCCTGGGGCACGTCAGATTCTTGACGGACGTGAAAAATGTCACTCGTATGCAAAGCGAATTGTGCCACGGCCCTCTCATTATTCCGCCGCGTGCGCGCGGGGGTCGGGTTTCCCGGGGAAATTTCATTCGGCCGCCGGAAAGTCGCGCGCGACCCCTGTTTCCTTTAATATAAGATCACGGGGAGAGGACACCTGCGGTCGGTCCTTTAAAAATGATTAACCTGCCGGAGAAAGTGGCGGCTGGACCCGGGGCTGCGTCGAGCGCCGATGAAAAATGGATCCTCCCCCAACCTTCGGGACGTCGTTAACTCTTCCTCCCCGGCGCGCGATTACGAGCTTGATTTTTAATGATTTTCTGACGACAGCCATTGCCCCCTGGGCAAACGTTACGCCGCCCCTTGCGCAGTGGAACTATTGCAGTGTGTACTCTGCTGACCAATGGAGACGCTTTATGACTTTATCCCTTGATCTATGAGATTTTAGAGTGTGATGGGTAGGAGAGGTTTTTAGAGTTTAGTTTGACGAATGAAGAGTTATGAATCTCATAAATAATGGTCTTTAACCATTTTTTGGGAGACCAAACATTCATATTTGAAATACTAAATCGCTAACAAATGATTTAATTACTCAAACAATAAGAAGTCTGTACATGGTTTCCTTATTTTCTATCATTTAAGCATTCACCTCATTTAGCAGGTTGTGTATACTTTAAGTAATCTTCGTCTGCAAAGAGTTAGTAATATTTCTGTATGATTTATGTGAGTTAATGTTTCTTATACATCTTATAATTAGTGAATTTCAATAGTAGGTATGAATGGACGAAATTTCAGTCGTTTTCCGTGTTTTTCTCGTTTGTTTCCACGCTACCGGTTTTTCTGTTTTCCGAATCAATTCGAGGACTCATTGATCCCCCCGTCGATCGTTGTCACAGTGAAACCGATCGCAGCAGCGACACGTCGTTTTGACAACCGATTCGTCACGCTAACGAGCCTCCATTAACGAGCCGCGTCGCGAGCAGATGCACGTGTGCACGATCCGTGATTCCGAAAGGTGACGCTCGAAATCCGTTCGACGGGGAATTTCGGTGAATTAATTCGACGCCATGCGCCGCGACTACGGCCAAGGGGCGAGGAACGCGGCAGCCTCCATTCTTCGCCGTTCAAATTAGCATTCCGGAGGGGAAGATTACTCGTTGCTAAGAATTCTTTGTCAAAGAGCCACTCCTGCTTCTCGGAAGCCTCTCGACTCTGTCGGTTTCATTATGTTCTATCGATCGCTCGTTACCGGAGACAACTCTCGAAATATTCTGCAACGAACGGACGATTGTCTGCGAGGTTAAGGTACACCGATGCCGGTGAAACTTGTAACACAAATGAAAAAGTGAAATTAAGTCGAATAACATTGAAGTTAAAAAATACTCACTCAAAGTTCAAAAGCAATCACGCTTTTATAAGAGACAAAGTTTTCCAGTGAGATAAACGTATCATTTAAGATTCCATTCAATTACAGCAATATCATATGACTCGTACGCACCATCTTACCCACTGCACTATCGATTACAAACGAAGCTCCATTAGCCCACTTGTTTAATCGATATTTAACGTCGAGCCAACCCCTCGGCACGTGTCACTGATTCATCCCTACAACTTGGCGCATTTGCTCGACGTAGCAATTCCTCTTCGCAGCGTTTAATACAATTTTAATATAACATCAACCGGAATTCTCTTCCTCCAATCTCCCCCAGTTCCCCCGTTCTTTTCCACTTACTCCTTTCATGCTTGAATTTTACGCGCTAGACGCAGTCGGGAACTTTCCTCGTTTCTTGCTCATCCTCTTTTCATAGGCCCGCGGTTCCTTCGTTCGGAAAACTCCTTCAATCTCGAGCATATCGTCTAACCCGGCGCGGTATGGTGCGGTGCGGTGCGGTGCGGTGCGGTGCGGTGCGGTCGGTCGATTAGCCAACGAGGCAGCGTTCGCGGAGGCATCAGCTTCCTTCGGGAATGGTTGACGCAAGGATACACCGGGCATTCGATCCCGTCCTTGCCCTTCGTTGTCCGGCGAGGCTTAATGAAAACCGTGATTGAAGCCGGTGCACGAGGGTCCGATCGATCGGCACGAATCACGAGGAGGGTGTTTGCCAGCCAATCACCGCCCTCCGTTCGAGGGACGAACACTTTTTTTTCCACCCGCTCTCCCCCTTTGATTCGACGGGATTCATGAGTTGACTTTGCGCGCAGCGCGCCGTCCATCCGGCTTTTCTTTGTATCCGGGCTAATGAAACTCTTATGACGGCGGCGAGCCGGAAAACCTCGGATTTCGGCCCGCACGCGCCCATCCACGGCCATTTTGAATCGCGACGAGTCGAGTGAAATATTTACGAGACTACCGGGCTGCCAGTTGTTTAACTCTGGAGCACGTGTCTTTCAAAGTAACTATCGTGATTATCTATTTGTGACTTAGTTCTTGAATATACTTTAGTGTTCTGGGGTTAACGGTTAACTACAACTTTTCATTGAAGACTTGAGAGACCTTCAGAGTCTTCGTTTAATTTATTTATTCCTTAGTCTCTCCCTTGTATCCAATAATTCAATAATCCTTTCCCTGACTTTCCTACAGCCTAGTATCTCAACACTTCAGCTTCAAAAAAGTCCTGCGCATCCTTAGAGTGCAAGTCAATCGAACTGAGAAGTAGCATCGAAATGTTTCTCAGACGTCTTAAGAAAATCATTATCGTTTCTCTGTGACAAACGGGGGGCGTAAATAAATTGGGAATCAGGGAAACAGAAAGGTTTTTGGAACTACTTACGGGAACGATGTGGGATTTATGAAGTAGCGGGAGAGCGCTTTTCGTTGCGGGGAGCATCAGCTGCATTAGTTAACAGGTTGATCAACAAGAGTTTATTTTCCCCGTGTCTTAAAGAGGGCGAGGAGGCGTAGACGGTTCCCGGCCGCGGGATGAAATCCTCCGAAGGCTAAGAGGGACGGCTGAGCAAGGGCAAACATTTTTCCTCGCTTCTTCGGGAGCTAATAACCTCTGCATATTTGATGGGATTCCATTCTGTAGCTGAGAGATCGTTCCCCGAGCGATCCGCTGCGCGCTTCGACGTCCCCGTCGGAAGGGAAATCTAATTTCTTTCGCTAACACGATACAATTTTGATTCCATGCCGCAATGTGAAAGCTTTTATGTCCCCGAGGCGGACCGGATATCGTATCCCGCGTTTTCACCTCTCGCAGTCTTCTGTTCCACGTCTTGCTTCACCTTTTTTTCCCTTTTTCTCGCGTGGCCGGCCTCCACTTTCGCGAGTATCGATCCCAGGACATTCGAGGAGGGTTTTATTTCGAGGAATGACAGATAATTCCTCCCCACCGCGGAGGAGTCGCTAGCAAGGAAAACGAGGAGTCTCCTCGGAGACCCCGCGTCGGTTTTCTTCCGTCTCACGGTTTATTAACTCTTGGTCGATTAGTCGACCTCCTGATATCCTACGTTCGATGGGCCCTCCGGGATTCACGCTCGAATTATTCTCTTCTTCCTACGCCGCAATTACCGGGCCACATTGTATCGGCCTCCTCCAGTAAACGATGGTCATTCTTTTGCTGCTTGCTTGCTGGACATCCTTGTGAGATCGATTGATAATAACTGGCACATGGGTCTTTATATTCGATTTGTGAAACATGGATTCTGATTGAAATGGTAGCAATAAATTTGGGATATACTGGAACAGGTTAATAGCGCTTTATTAAAAATCTGGTAACAATCAACAGTATTCAGCATTCTGGTTGCATGGTTCTTTCAACGTGAGCTGAAGCTTTAGAAAATGCATTTTTTAACGATTGGGGTTCTATCATTAAGGGGAGATTCAGGTTTGAAGCAAAAGCGCGACGCCAGCTAAAGTCCATTTGGCAGGCTTGTCTTTCGTTTTCAAGTTGAAGGTCCACACATAAGTGGGTCCACGAGTTCGCGTTTTATAGACTGGACACTCGTACATGTTCCTAAGATCCTGTTTATCCTGCGTGATTGCTCGTACGTTGATCACCGGCATCGCAGGGTACAGTTCTTTGGGTTTCGAATCGACGATGATTCCCGTTTGTACGTCCCATCTGGCGCCTTCCATGAAGATCCCGTGGATGTAGGCCCCATCTCTGGGCGCCGAGCTATCGCCAAGGGCACGAAAACAATTTTGTATTAAACTGAAATCTCTTTAATCAATATAAATTTCAATAATTAATGTTGCTTCTATCTCTTACGTAAATTCCTCTTTGTTTTTCTTCGTCACGTCACACTGCAAGCACATCTTGTCCAGAGGTAATTCTTGTCTTCTAGCTGTAGACTGCATGATGGCTGTTAAAAGGGACTGAGGGTTGAAGAATCCGGCCAACCAAACTGATGATGGTAACTGAAACAGGGCCCTTGTGAATTTATCAAATATTTTTGATACCTGATCTGGATATAAATAATGAACCGAGAAATTAAATAAAATACTTAGATCCACCTCAAAATATCCCCAGACTGCGATAACTAAAGATTAATTTAAAAAGTTCAATTGTAACAATTGTATGTAGAATATGTTTTTTTTATAGCTTACAACAAAGTCTGTAGACCAGGTTTCCAGCTCCCTAATTCTCAGTAGAAGATCGACAAACCACCCACCCAGGCCCAGCAGAGAAGGATAAGCTCTTTGGGCCCAAACAGGGGGGACTTGGTCCAGGAACAACGCGTTCTCCAGATCTTCCATGTCCGACGTAATAGTCAGCTCACCCTTCAGACCTAAATCCAACTCCCGAAGGGATCGCTTGATCTCTATCGTCAAATAATTCATCCGCTCGCATTCTTGGAACGCTACAATCACGTACGGCGTTCTCTCCTCCACTTTTCCCATTATCTCGGTCATATTAAACTCGTCTGGGAGCTTCTCCATTATTTCGTCCAATATTTGCTTCACCTAGACATCGTGGCTAGATCTAATACTTGATTATTATTAACGCACCGAATCGTTACCTTCTCTTCCCTGGTCACAGTTTGCCCCCCAGAGCTACCAGAGTCTCTGGGCTGCATTTCAAAGACCGTCTTGAAGAGATTCTCCGCTGTCATCGTTAGGAAACCTATTTCAGCGTTGGGATGGAGCCCATAGAGATAGGGTGACTCTGGAGGCATCGCTTCGTCGATGTAGGCGTGGTAGCCGATTAAATCGGTGTTCGGTGGTGCGGGGAACCCTTTAAAAGAGGATCTAGCATCTATAGCTCTCTGACTATAATATGCATTAAAATCACATCAATTCCCATTTGTCCCTTTTTATGCTTTTCATAATAGAACTTATCATCTCGTTACATTGATCTCGTCGTCGCTGTGTCACTTTCACTTGAAGGGACAAATGAGGGTTGATCAATCACTTATGCATAGAAGTGAATCACCTGGCGCCAGCTGAAGCTCCCCGTCGACCAAGTCTGGCTGCATCAGCTCCTCGAGGTAAGAGACACAAAGTCTCCTATCCCAATCATCAGTGATGTGTCCCCCGTACATAATCTCCCCGAACAGGTACCTTGACCGATCATACACAATTAGCGTAATTGTCCGAGCAACTAGAGAAGCCGACTATGTCCCACCTTAAGTCCTCCCAGGGTACCTTCGACGCTGCCTCCAGGTAATTATAGAGCACGCTCACGCTGATGTGCAGGTCCCCAACGTTGAAGGGGTAGATTTTGTTCCAGCCCTGCGGGCCGAACTTCCGTCGCTCGGCGACAACCGCGTGGAAGTAACACAGCGAGAACAGGATCGCCTTAAACTCAGCCTCCTTGCTGCACATCTCGAGGGTCTCCTGGCTGAAATTGTCCAGGGCTTTGTGAAGGTTTGCCTGCATACCCGTGGGCGGCTCGTTCGTGATCTTAATGGACGACTCCAGGATCCCCTAATTTGTCTCATTTGAGCGTCGGTCTTGTCTTAAAGGGGTGTTACAGAGTACAGAGGAGGTCCGGTTTACTTGAGGGATGATGTGTCCCGCGGGCGTGCTGGCCGGCTCCGCGCTCATGAACACCCTGTACTCCGCGTGGGATCCGTCCGCGGCCGTCTCCAGCTTCTTCTCCAGCAACGGTAGCCATTTCTTCACTAAATGAATATTCTGCAGCACCACCCAGTGGCCGTTCATAGCCGCTACGTCCATCGCTTGCTCCGCAACCGTCTCCTGACCTTGACCCAGGGACACGTTGTGAAAATTCTGATTGTCCAGCGTGTATCCCAGACGGCGGCCCAGGTCCTCCACGTCCTGGTTAATTGAACAGGGTTGCGATGAAATTAGAGTACATTCGCTAAAACTGACCTTCATGTGGACACCAGTATTGATCGAAGGGAATATTAAACGTAGAGGTGGCTTCTGGAGTCTAACAAAACTGAAAGTACTTTACTTTTGTTCGGAATATTTCAAGAAAATTATTTCCTAGATCATTTTTATTTTATTTAGGGTATAAAATTAATATCGATCAATTAAATCAGATGTTTCTAAGTCAAGAATACTGCCCATTAATACTAGCATTGATGAAATTCGCTTTTAGCCATTCCTCTTCGGTCGATACAGGATTGTTGAAACCTATATTGATAGGCCAAACAAAAATTCTTCAGACCCGAAGAGCACAGAAGGGTTTAGGCTCGGGTACCTTTAGAGGATTGACTCCAGGGGAAAGGATGAAGAAGATTGGAGTGGATGGGCTAGTTTCCTCGAAAGACTTGGCGAACTCGACGGTTCTGCCCTCGATGTATCTCGGGCCGAGCTTCTCCTCGATGAACGCAGCGATTGCGTACGTCATTCTATCGGGCCGCAGAGCCCTCAGCATGCACAGCCGCTGTATGGTCGTCTTGTTTTTCCATTCCTGCGGGAATTTCTCTCGCTCCGGGCACTCGCATTCCACCAGCTTCTTCCATCGCTTCGCTGAACTTTCTATATCCCTATCTAAATTGCTTCACAGACGAATATCATCCTCTATATAAAACTGTTCTAAACGAAAGCTCTAGAACCCCTATCGCGCCAGATTGCGCGACTCAACAAAGCAATAAACATAAACGAAACCTAAGCGTTAAATTACTATAAAAATAACTTCGCATATGCCAAACCAAGATACACTACTAGAGAACTGCCACGTTATACTTATGAAACAGAGCAACCCACGTTTCGAGAGTTAAATATCTCCAACAAAGCTTCAAGAAGGTTCAGAGAGGTTCTCGACAGAGGGAGAGCTTCGATCGGCATATTAAAAATTCCGAGAATACTTGACCTAAACCGGGCTCACCGAAATTCCTCCCTGCTAGCCAGGCTCCTTATTCCTCCCCAACTGGTGTTGGTGAGGAAGTCGACGGGCGAAGTAACGTGAGGAGTGATGGGGAACCGTAGAAGGAAGTCCAGCTCACCGGCGGTTACCTCGTTCCTAGCCAACAGTATCTGGAATGCCATCTGAGAGGCGAATATCAGCTTATCACACTCGAACAGCCCCCTGCTCGTGTACATGAACACCGAGTAGGTGATGCACTCGATCAAATTCTTCACACGGCCGGACACATCCGGTGCCGGGTCTGCCTTTGAGATCGCGTTCTGGAACACCACGCTGAACGCCTTCAGCGAGAACTGATAGATAGGGTTGATCGTGTTCAGATCGTTCAAAATGAAATAGAGAAGGGAAGCTCTGGCCGCGGCTGGTCGATACAGTTCGCGAGCCGCGTCAATCTCGCGGCTAGTCCCGCGAGCTTCCGTCACTTTCGATTCAATTTCCGCTGCGGTCCTCTTGGTCGTCTCCAGATTCTCCACTAACGACGTGTCCTCTAATACGTTGCTGCCTGCTGATGACAATCTACGAACAGAATTGTTTCATCGTACAATGGAAAAGGATCTTTGATGGGACATTCGATCCCACGAGTTAGGAGCAAGTAGAGATGTTGAATGAAGTCTTTAAAAATTTAGGTCAATACTCGGTTACTTTCAGGATTGGATTTTCTATATGTCTTTTAAGTAAATTTGTCATCTTATCTTGTTCGAAGATACATGAAAAACTTGCAAGTAGTTGTTAAAGGATTAGGGATCCACACCTGGACAATAACGAATCCTCTAAACTATTCAGAGTGATTTTAAAGTCATTCTGCTGCCTGGTGAGCTCAGCTTTCAGCTCTTCGAGGTCCGGTCGCTCGGCCTTGACTACCTCAGCCAGCAATTGATCCTCGAGCCCGTCCCTCGTTACCGTGAAATTAATCAAAGTAGTTTGAGCCTGCATCTCGGGCTTGTAATGCGGATTAGCCAGCTTCGTGTGTAATAATAATCTGAACAGCGGATTGTACTCGACCTCCTTGTCGCCGATCTTAATCGCGCGACCCTTCTTAATCAAGTTCCTGCCTAGCAAAGGATCCAACACGGGATCCACGGTCTCGCCGATGTTCTCAACGAGAACGGTCGACCCGTTTGCCAGGGACTGCTCGATGACATCCAGGCAACCCTTTTGGCCCAGCCTAATAACCCTAAGTTCTTCTCCGTACTTCTGCTTGATCCATTTAATGCCCTGGAGCTGAGGGAAAGTACCGTTTCGAAGTCAACGACAATCCCAATTAGAAAGACCATTAAGGATCATGGATAAATAATAATAACATAGCAATACTCATTAATATATCGATAATATCGTCAAGCTATCGGTAAGTAGAATTCATCTGCATCTAATTTACTCTTACTTGAAGTTTAATAGATATAGTCTAAATCAATTTAGAGTCTAAACATCTGTTGTTTTCTGCAGGTAAATCGATAGTTACTCTTCAATGACATCTGCACGAATGCATATACCTGGGGATCAATCATCAAGGGCCAACGATCCGAATTAGTCAGAATGGTGGCGTTCTCCGTGGACATTCTATCATTCGGCAATCCTTCATTGTTCCATTTGGCTATTTGCGTGTCGTCCGTCAACAAAGACAAAGGGTCCAATCCCTCCGTAATGGGAACCGCAGGCTCAATGGCTCGCAGGAACGGCAGCCATTGCTTCTGCTGTAAATCCAGCCGGAACTGTTTCGTAAAGCAGCCGACGTACGATATGAAGGCTGTTACCAGTAGCACGTCGCCAGGCAGCGTCGAAGCTTGTTGCATGAAACTTAAACGAATCATTCGATCGTTTGTAGCCTAACGATCATCTTCAAACTTTCCGCTACTTACTTTGCTACCGAGTCTGCCCAACGCACGTTCTCCGACGCCAGACCGCCGACGAGCCTGTTAGCGAGCGCGATAGTTGCATTGGTAGCGTCCGCCTCTTGCTGGCACTTCAACTTTTCGGAAGTTGCCTGCTCGAAGTCCGCTGTTAGCTTCGCTAATTGCTCCTCTAGGGACTGTCGATTGGTATACGGTCGAAAGTATTGTTTAGAGGATGCATACGGTTGAAAAAACTGTATTAAACTACTATAGTTTCTTGAAACTTAATGGGACATTGCAGTGCTACTTTGTTTTCGCAAGATTTCGCTTGTTTTAATTTTGATTACGTCTCTATGACTTTATATACATTTGTGAATTGGGCCCAAGGAGTTAACTATTGAAATAGTTTCATCGAAATGTTAAAATAGTTGGAATTTGTATTTCAAGAAGCTTAAGCTTGTGTTACGTACAGCAACTTTTCGTTTGATCCCGCCAAGCTTATCTTGAGCAGCCGCTAGTTCAGCGTTCGCCTGCGCCAGTGCCTTCCGTTTAGGCTCCACGTCGCAAAACACCTCGTAGAACTTGATAATGTTAATCACCCAAGCGCAAAGGCCAGCCGCTGCGGCTGACTTAGATCTGACGAATTCTGGTTCAAACTCCGAGTCCTTCAGGTATGGTTGAATCGCTTTGATCACCTCGGGATGAATGTTCTCCTTGTCGTAATTGATCAAAGAGTCGAGGAAAGTGTCGACTTTCGCCATTACGATCTAAAGGAGAATTCATGGAGCAGTTTTATGGGGTGTATCGGTGACCTTGTTCGTACCTTGGCAGCCTTCCAGCTTCGATCCTTGGGCACTTTACCGGCTGGAGCTAGTAGCACCATTACGGCTGCGGTCACATTGGTCACAGCGCCGGGCGGTGAACCAAAAGACTTCAACTCGGTCAGATTCGCTTTGTTCAACGTGTTTAGAGCCTCTTGCGCTGCCAGCAAAGCCGGTTCCGCTTTCATCAGGTCTGCCTCGCAGTCTTTTTGCTTCTTCGACACTTCCTCCGCGATTATAGCGACTTTCGACTCCTCTTCGTCGGCTGCAAGCGAAAAAAGTATATTAGCTGTGATACATCAGCTATTCAATCGTGAAAACAAATTAACTTTACAAAAAAAGAATCAGAGAGACTTAAGAAACATTTGATTAGCACTGAATTTGGGAATATTCAAAAATAGAATTGGTTACTTCAACTTGTGAAAGATTCATATATTTTCTAGTACCTATAGCTTTCTCTTTTTGAACTTTCTCCGTCTCAATGCCCACGATCGCTATCAACGCGTCCGCAGCATCGTTTTTCTGCTGCAGCTCCACCTCCTGAACCGCAAGTTTCTCCTTCAGCTTGTCCACCTGAACAGCAGTCGATCGAAGCTTCTCTAAACCGTTCTCCAACCTGGCAACTCGAGCACGAAGCTCGCTGGACTTCGTCTTCAACAGACGAGTGTACAAGCTGATCTGCTCCAGAAAGGATTTAGGGGTGGTGTAATTGTAACGACGCTCGCTGGCTAAATAATGACGACTGGCAGCGTTCACGCTGGTGTGGGCGTGGGCCATAAACTTTGTCGCGGAGTCCCTGTATCCAAGAATTATTTATAATAAATGGCCTTAATCGAATTTAGGGTCCACGTGATAGAATAGAAATGTCAGTTTCCCATCTCAATTTAAAATATCATTCTCTACAATAATTTCGTTCACGCAGTGACATTTGTCTCTCTCCCACAACAGAGAATGTTCAAGCGAAGAGTACCTATAACTCTCGGGAAGTTCGTCCAACTCCTGCAAGAACCTCTTCGATACAGACATCAAAGCTTCTTGTGGCCATTCGTGAAACCAGTTTATCGCCGTGCAATTTATTATAGCTGGGAATTTCCTCGAACGAACCCTTAAAGTGGACCCCACTGGGGAGAAACAGAGAACTATTCGGAGCTGCCTGCGCACCCGGTCGATGAAGAACTTCCAGCAGTTCTCGCGGGTATCCAACATCCCGGCACCTTTCACCTCGTTACGGACGCCTGTGGATGTTCGGAATCGAATGTGTTTCCAATTGATCGTGTGATTTAGGGACACGCTGAATCAATGAAGAGGAAGTTTAACGTTACGCTCACGGACGCTTATTGTACAGTTTCCTCTATTGTTCATAGAAAAATTTATGTTCGCTTATCTGGATCTTAGAAATTAGAGCTTTGAAAATACAGAGTTAGTTCCGTGAATTTAGTGTTAAGTATCTTAATGAGGTTCAGAAACAGAGAATGGAAAATTGTCATCAGTATCAGCATCATCATCAAAGAACCTCGAACCTGCTATGATATTTTCGACTTCGTCTTCTGCAAAGAGATCAGGCACCTCGCCAGAAGCGAGCATATCATTGATCAGCACGAGGAAGTGTTCGTTCGCCACCTGGGCGTCAGTCATCAGAAAGACGAGACCCAAGTTCTTCAAGCCTGCCTTGTTGTATAGAACAGCCAGTTCAAGCTTCAGATCCGCGATGCCATAACCCTTCTTCAGCTGAATTTGGAAGACCTCCAACGAGCTTATGAAGGCGGCCAATCGCGATAAGCTCTGCTTGCCAGAACCTCCAACGCCAACCAATAGAGCACTGCCTCTAGGCGACTCGAGGATTCTGTTTATCCTACACACGTGCATCATAGCGTCCTCGAAGAGCACCAAGTTCATAGCGGCCACCAGATCATTGTAGCTGACCATTGCCTCTGATAGCAACCTGTGCAGCGTTGACCAGTCTCTTACTGGCATGTATTTGGGTTCTCCAACACCACCTAGGAATAATAAATTACATTCCGAGAATAGATTATTCTTGGAATTATTTATGGTAACTGAACATTTATAACTGTTTAGAAATCTGCAGAATAATCATTTGTAATATAATGTAATTATTGGTGTAATTACCTGCAAAATGACAGTAGATGTTTGGTTTTTCCAACACAGCACCTTCATCAACTTCCTCCACGTTCTTCTTTAAAATGTCCATCTGCAACTTCGAGAAACTTTCGATATCTTTTTCATCCGTCAACTTGTCCCCATAAACACGATGCGTCTCGTGAACCCAGAGTCTGATCAAGTCCATAGAAGACTGCAGGCACTCATTGCCGCTGAATAACAGTCCTTGGAAGCAGTTCGACAGATCTCGAAGATTAAAGATGTAGTGAAACTTCACTGCTGTCGGGAGAAACATCTGAGCGCATCGATGATGCAGCTGGATCGAGGCTTGCACTATATTGTTACACAATTCGGTAACAACATGAGGAAACCTGTGAACAGAAAAATGAAACGAGAAATCAACTCGAGGTTTCTCCGATATTTATTCAATGATTAATACCTGTGTTCGAGGTTCAACAAATGCTGTGATAAAATGGAGGCGTAGATCGTAGTCAAAGAATCAGTATTAGGGAAACTGACAGCGAATACGGAAAAATGTCTCTGAAGTCTTGGATTGATTGTGAAAGAACCGGCTGTAGGGTTCATACAGCTAACGTACTGACAATTATGAATATCCTTCAGCGTCAGCTTCGTTCTGTCGTACCAGTGTCCATAGTCCAAGTGCTGTCGGATCAAAGTGTGAGGTTGAACCGTTCCGTAAGCGTCAACTTCAGGCATGTTCATGTCATCGATAAAGTACACCAAAGTCTTATTCCCAGGTGGCCCATAGTTTCTGCCAGCTTTTTTCTCCAGCGATTTCTCTAGGATCTTCTGCAGCATTTCCGAACTGGTATAGAAATTAAAGGGAACATTGGACACCGCGTAATTCTCAGGCAAATGTAGAAGCTTCTCAGCAACCAGCACTGTCTTCCCACAGCCAGCAGTGCCCACTAACATTACAGGTTGCTTCTCGGCCATTAATAAATCCAGAAAGTACTTGATCCTAATAGACTCAGCTGTGTAAACTAGGACAGCCTGCAGAGGCATTTCAGGATCCAATTCGAATTTAGGCAAGCGTTGGGCCCACGGGACGAAACTCTTCGTCTCAGTGTCGATATAATAGTCAAACACAGTACCTTGCTGAGGGAATCTGATCTGCTTGAATTCGTTGACCCACCATTTACTAAACTCCACTCGGTAGTCAATCGTTTGGTCCTGAAACATGGATGATCCGAAGGCCCAGACAGCAGCGAATACAAAGTAGAGCTCGTAGTGCTCCTTCAAGAAGTCAGTGCCTGTTAATTCTGGCTTTAGAAGACAGTGGAGCAGGTGACAGAGCATTTCTACGTGTGCCATATCAGCGATAGGAGTGATCTTCTTGAATCTAGTCCTTAGAGTTTCCAAGCAAGGAGGAATATACTTATCAAACAGCATTACTAAATTCGACTTCTCAATTGGCGACGTTCTCTTCTCCACCCAGCTAGTGACGTAAGGGTTCCAGCCTAGATCTTGAGGATTAATGTAAAGAATACCTGCTCGAGACACTGTAGCCGGCGTAGCTGTCCTCAAATTCGAGATCTCGAAGAGAAGTCTCATAACGGGTGTCAAAGCTATCCTCTCATTGCTAGCCAGGGTTAAAACTTTATTATCGTCCATTACAGTATTCAACGATTCGATCCACATGGGATCAATGTCGCCATCCAAAACTATCCACTTTGGGTTCTCGCCACCCAGATTTGCCTGTTCCCTCATGATTACTGAAAATAATCCATCCTTCCACTCCCTGGTCGCTGGATTGATTATCCCAAATAGTTCATCATTAGTCACAGCTTTAGGATTCAGATCATTGTACACTGGCTTCCTCTTCATGTTCTGATAGGTTCTGAATAGAGTCTTCCAGACCTGAGTCTTTCCAGAACCAGCAATTCCAACGATGAACACCGAGTGTCTAACTTCGAGTAATTCCTCCAGTTGCACGACTTTGAGGATGAAGCCATCCTCTGGTTGAAGTTGTAGATCAGCTGCTGCTTGCTTCACCATCTTCTCGAACTCAGCGTCTCTTTTCCTAGGGACATCCAACGCTGGAAATAAGTCTGCTATCAGACCCATGAAAACTGGCAGATCGTCAGAGATGACTTTTGGGATGTTGAAGTCCCTCAGAGCTCTCATGAGCACTTGCTCCTCGGGTCTACCGGGATCTCCTCTCTTTAGACTCCCAGCGACCACAAGAACGGACTTGATCGCTCGCAGACCCCAATCGTAATGATCCTGCTTCGATAGTAGCTCCTTACACAAGGTGTACAGCGTAATGAATTTTCTGGCTAGGATCCTAGCGTCTTGGAAGCCTTCTGCTACCAACATGATCTCGCAAATTAATTCGAAATCAGGAACGACCATGGCGCAGGGCCTGAAGAGAGCCTTCAGGTTCTCTGGCAGCTCCGTGCGTCCCGCGTAACCTGGATTCATGGTAATGAAGATACCAACAGTAGGCTCTAAACCGATCATCTCTCCCATGAAATTGAATTTTTCCTTTTTGTCCCTGATAGCGTCCTGAATCGATTTCACCTGAACAGCGACCACTGAAAGTACTTCGACGGTGATTCGGTTGAACTCGTCGAAACATCCCCATGCTCCTGTTTGTGCCAAGCCTTTGTATATGTTGCCGCAGGACTTGTAGTCCATTTGCTCAGAACAGTTGAACACGTAGACCATTATACCCAGCGCTCGGCCTAGATCCTTGGTCGTTTCGGTTTTCCCGGTGCCTGCTGGGCCAGCTGGACCGCCGCCCATGATCAAGTGCAGCGATTGGGTTAAGGTAATGTAGCATCTGTCCGTGAGTGGTGTTATGACCAACCTAAATGAAAAATCGAACAAGAAATCTTTGATACAGTAAACTACAGAATTGTAGTAAAATTCTGGAGAAAACATAGGCTTTCACGAAACTTGTAAACTCAATCTCCCAAAAGAATGAATTTCAACTGTATGTTGTTTGAATGATCTGTTCCAAAGGATCGACTATATAACACCGTAGTCGTGCAAATATCTTCTTCAATTATTCCAGCATTCTACATTCAGAGTTTCACAAGTTGCATTCACCCATTAACCAAGACGCAAAGTAGAAGAACCGAAGTGCACGAGAGGGGATAGTGAAAGAGAGCACTAACCTGGGAGTGTTTCCCAGGTACTCGTGCGAATATTTGAATTGCGCGTCGCAAATATTAGCGAAGCAATCCCTCTCCTTCTCGTCCCACCGGTGGCGCAGTTGACTTTGCCATTGGAAGGCCTGCGACGTCTCCACCTTGGATTGCACCAGCTTCGCCACGACGTCCCTCGAGTGCACGTCGATCGTGCAGATCGTCATCACCTTCTGCCTCTCCTGCTTCGTAAGCTCGCCTATCAGCAGCGTGATCAGAATGCTCAACTGGGAGATTTGTTTCTTCAGATAATCCTTCAGCGAGTTGTCGTAGCCCTCCTCCAGTCTGGAGAACGCGATGTTCACCTCACTGGTCCACCAAATTTGCGTGCCGCACAGAGACACCTGGGCGGGATAGTCGAACAGCCACTGCTCACGTGGCTTCTCCTCGTAAGAAATCACCGCCTCGCTGAAGTAGTACCGTATAGTCACCCTCATGGCTCTCTGAAGACCGTTCAGCCATGCCTCCACTGCTCCCTCGCAGGTCATCTCGCAATTTGCGAATTCTACGTATTCTCCATCTTTCGCGAACATCCCTTAAAACAGTATGTTCTTTTCATTCTTCAGCTTTTACACTCAGTAATTGTTTGTGCATCTGCTTATCGCGATGAGGTAATTATAGATACATTTTATATATACAAATATATCGTAGGATTGTTTAATTTTTATATATAAGAAATATCAGATTTTACTCTTTTTAATGAAGTTTTTTAAGCATTACAGTTTAAGTTTTATAAATTCCGAGAATCGTCTTACCTAGCACTTTTCTAGGAGCTTTATCAACGTCGTCGTCAAACTTCAATCTAGCCATGGAATCGAACAGCTTCGTCAAATGTTTAGCTACCACTTCTGGTTGGTTTCCATTGGATAGTATATCCAGCAGATCGCTAGACGAAACGAAATAGAATCTAGGGAATGCTAGACGTTTCGTCTCTAAATACTCAGCTAGTGCCTTTTCGCAGAGAACCAGTTCCTTCTGTAGAACGTCTAAGGCGGATACAAGGCCTTCCTTGTTGGTAGCCTCTATCACGTTAGGTGTCTTCGCCATTTCTTCAGTCATGAATTTGAATTCTTTGTCTATCCGATCGAATCTTTCTGCATCCACTGGCAGTTGTTTCCGTATGTCCTCCGAGGACGTAAAAATACTTTCGAGGTGCATCCAGGTTCTTTGGACCTCGAACCAAATCGTGGTTACTTGATCCGCGATACTTAGCTTCTTTTGCCAGCTCGACACTTCGCCCAGAAAGTGAGCAATGAATTTTGAAGTGATGAGATTTTGCAATTGCACCTATCAGGAATTGATTTCCTTAGACTGCTAAATTTCTAATTGAACGAGGAATAAATTAAAGGATGTGTTTCTAGAGCACCTGATTTTCTTCAAGGGTCTCAATTAGCTCTTCGCTAGCTCTGATCAAAGTAGCGCCAGTTCTCGCGTGTACTTCCTTGTCAAATTCCATTTTCGACCACGTAGTGTTCAATTCCCTCATGTATCTTTCCATGGACATCTCCTTTACAGCCTTGTCCACGATGTTCTTTACTTCTTCCTCGCAATCGTGAAGGTTCAGCTCCAGTAAATCCGCCAGAGTCGTCGATTCGTCCATTACGAATCGCACCTAAACGCATGAATCACTGTTGACCGAGTTCTTCGACGTTCCACGTTAAAGGAAAGCCGAATAATAATTATGCAGGTACATATCCATAGATTAATTAGCAATTTATTTCCATTGTTAAATGATTTATTTGATTACAAAACAAGTGAGAACGTTACGGTGATACTTGAAACGGTGCAAGTAAACTCTCCAGTTAACGCAATATTGTAAGAACGAAACGTGGGATGAAGCAAGGCGAGTGATAAAACGGATAACGTGTTGTTTGATGGAAAGCAAATTTATTTAATGACGTATGTACAGCTCAGAAAATAAATGAGATAACAACGTTATCGTATAACCGTGACAATGTATCTATAATGGTAGAAAATGTAACGATGCGTGTGCGTGCATGCACTGTTAGCACCGAGCCAAACGCACTGAATCTCATGAGATGTATAAATTTAGGTGCTCGTTTACTATTCTAATCCGAGGTATCGTAAGAAACAGTAAAAAGTAGTAATCGTGCGCGTATTTACAGTGGACTTACGGTCATTTCTGGAGTCATGTCGCCCAGCTTCTGCAACACCGATAGCGTATATATACAGCGGTGCAACTAAACATCTAGTATTCCCGTGAATACGAAATCCACCCGGACGTTTCTCTAAACTCACATCTAACCGGTCGATCGTTACAAATATGTACAGGACCTCTACTACAAATTTACGAGAAATATTCGTACGAGAAATGGTGTAATCATTACAGATATCTGTACTCCCGAATCGTTCTCTTCGCGCGTCTGTACCGTTCTGTGAACCTCGCTGGTACCTTAGTGCTGTTCATCAACTGTCTCCAGTGTCTCTCCCGTATAGCAGGGTTTTGTAGCTCTGCGACCGCCCTCAGAGACGTCAGCATGTTTTTTACTGTCGCTTCCAGCGACACGTAAGTGTCCCACAACCTCATCTCCTTATCTAAAGCTGATTAAACCAACAAAACCATTAAAATCTTCCCTAATTCCATTGTTAGAAGCTACTATCCACTGATTACCAACCCCTAATCTCCTTGGCAAACTTCTTGCACTCGATGTCCATGTTCTCCACATCGATCTTCCGCCACGGTGTCGTCTTCCAGCCCTCTATGCTGCTTCTGACAATGTTCACGTAATCCCAAAGCTGCTTCAGCATCCTCAATTCCCTTCTACATTGCCTTAGTACCTTGAACTCTGGCACGAGAACCTCGAAAAGAGACGCAGATTCTTGGATGTCTTTCATCTGTCTCTCTAACATTAGTATCTCTCTGTGACCCTCGTCTAATAGCTCGTAAGGGTTCGGACATTCGTATTTGAAGAAAGTGTAACGTCGGAATGCTTCACGGTAGTGCGTTATCGTTGTGTCGAACGCGGAGATTCGTCCTCTGATCCTGGACACTTCGCCTGTTCGAGAAAAGTTTCGTTGAAGTTTTGCTATTTATTTATTCTTTAACACGTTCGCTACCGGCGTCACAGATTTGTGACGGAATCTTATATTTTACATAAAGCAAATGAAATTAATCTTATAGATATTGTTAGTTCAAGTTATAAGCTACGGCATTATATTTAGTAACTCAATAACTCGTTCGAGTTTCATTTTTTCGATATTTTGTTCAGAAGATTTATTGGAGTGAATCAAATATTACAATCGAGGAGGTCCTCAACGAAGTAAACGCTGGTAGCAAACGTGTTAATTATCATCATTCTTTGTTTTCTGGAATTAAGGCTAGCCACGAAAAGTAACAAAAAATCTAAGTAAAGGAATGAAGCGTCGTTCTGGAAGAGTTAATTATTCGCTCGACGAAACGGGCTTCACTTTTGCAGTGAAGAAGTTCCGAATGGTGGTTCGAGCTTTTATGGAATTAATTAAGATTTACGATCGGGGGGACTTACCAGCCTGCAACGGAGCCACTTGCTGCTTCACCATGAGCGCCAGTTTCTTCGTGTTGGCCCACTGTTCCGGCAGCTCTTGAAGGAGTACGTTCACCTCCTCCGGGATGTCCTGGTCGTAAAACTTGAGCAGCTCGATCGTCTCCTCCAACGGCTGGAACATCTCGTCCGTGGTCGGCTGTCTCTCCTTCACTCGCAGCAGATAGCCCATTACGCTGACTAGGCCGACGTAGTCGCCCGGCTGGATTGGCTGGAGCAAACCTTCGTCCGCTCTCCTATTCAATTCATATTACGTATTATCGTTTGTCGTCTTTACTAGGGGATCATCCAAAATAATCGTGACACTGAATCGAAGCGGTTGGAATATCGCATGATGATCGTCTTGCGAACTAACATGGAGAAACTGAGAAGAAAAAGTACTTCAATCTTTACTATAAATAAAGAGAATAATACAGTTCTCTGAGAACTGGTCTCCATGGAAATTTTCAATGAAAATATTTTACTTTAAGTTGCATTTTGAAATATACTTATAAAATCTGCGACGATGAAACAGGTTTAATATAGCCTCAAAGACTCGCAACGCTTTAAGAAGTTATATGAAAATCCTTTTATATTCTATGGATTCTATCTTTTCTTATCTATCCTATCCTTATACCGACAAAAACAAAAGCAACCAGTTCCTATCATTCCAAAGAGAAACACCTTATAAACGACCCCAAATCCGAGAGGCTGCTGGTTACGCGTTCGACCAGATGTCTCTTGAACATGCTCGACCATTTGCAGACCATGTTCAGGACCGACTGCCTAAAGGGTCTCAGGTCTACCCTGAACCAGCCGCAAAACACTTTCGACGCTTCCATTTCCTCGATCTCGAGATAGAGGCCCTCGTAAAGGTCGATTTGCTCGCGGAATTGCTCCATTTTCGGCGGCGACCGCGCCGGCCCCTTGGGATCCTGTATGGCCACCATCTCCATTTCCTCTATCGTCAATTGTCGGCTATACTCGAGAAACTGTTGCATCACCATGTCCCTGTCGTCCAACCAGAGATAGGCGTACCCTGATAAAATAAAACGACGGAGGATCACGGGAACGCGTAGACGTCGGGACAAAAAGGCACGATTAAAGGAAATAGAAACTTCCGTGGCTCTGATACGCGGATGATTTCTAGCCCACCTTCGAAATTGCTACAGAACTCGGTGGCCTCCTCCACGGCGGTCGTCACGTTGTTCAGGATCTCGTTCTTCATCCCCTTGATGTCCGCGTCCTCCTCTAACTCCTCCGCGTATCCCGCGGTGCCGCCTTTCAGCCTCGGCAACAAAGCAGCCATTCCAATGATATCGTTCAGTAGATGGAGGATCAATTGATCCAGACCGTCCGGATCGTCCGGTTCTAACGAGGGAACGTAATAAAGGTCAGGCTCCCTTAGTTCTAGTTTCGCCTCCAATAGTGGCTCGCTTTGCCCCGCTGAATCCATGTTTTCCACTAGGTAACCTGGCACATAAAAGGACAATTTAAAAAAGTCTGCAGTCTATTGTAGTTCATTTTTGCATATAATTTTCGAATAAATATTCCATTCGTAGCTTTTTATGTTTTCGAAACATTTCAATGATCAGTAGTTTTCCTAAAGTATCTGATTAAGTAGTTTTAATTATTTTTCTCTCGTCAAAGCGGACAATAGATGTAAAAAAACACGTGCAGAATATTTTTCTGATCATCGTATCATACGAATGATTCCTAAAATAAGCAAGAATATTAGACGAGGTATGTCAGCGAACAAAAGAGCGAACGGTAGTAACCTAACGAGCAACCGAGGGCTCTCCGAAGGGATTCGATGACAATGCCGTCGACATACTCGACGTATCTCGACCAGGGCTCCTCGATTTCGTCGGAGACTTGAAAAAGCAGCCTGTTCTCCCCGACCAGTGAATGAATCTGTTCAGCCGCTTTCTTGATCTCCGCGTAGCGTTTCGATACCTTCTCCGGCCTCTCGTCGAACGATAATAAAGCATCCTTGCGGCGGTCCTTCCTCTCGATGAGCGGGGTCCTGGTCCACGGCTCCAGTATCGCTTTGATCTTTCCGACGTTCGTCTGGGCGGATTTGATTCGCCTCCAGAGACCGTCCACCAGCTCGCCGAGCTCCACGATGTATTCCAGCACGCCGTCGGACTTCCAGCATAATCCGTTCTCCCCGCGGGACACCAGGGAATCGATCCTCGTTATCTCTTTCTCGATCAGATGGAACTCGACCTGCGTGGTCGTCTTGCTGACATTGTTGTACGAGTCCACGGTCGCTCCCAACAGGGTGCGGAACTTCCGGAACGTCTCCACGTTCTCCGACACCTGGACAGACGACGCTATCGACATTAGAGCTATCAAACAAATCGAAGTTAAACTTTCCAAGTGACTAGCTAACGTTTCAACTTTGATGCCTAATCAGCTACAAGAATCCATTATTCGACAATATTAACGTTAGGGCTATCAAACAGATCGAAGTGAATTTCAGAACTTTTATTTTATGATCATCGAAGTTAAACTTTCCAAATGTCCACCTAACATTTCAACTTTGATGTCTAATAAGTAATAAGAATCATTTATTCATGGTAGATCACTGTTGAAAAGACCTTTATAGCTTCATCGGGGATATCTGATCTCGACATCTGTTTCAGATAATTCACTTCTTTCAGGACAGCCAGCAATTCCTGATCAAAGTTCAACAGCAACGTCGAATCTTTCTCGCGAGCCAGAATGTTGCGATTCAAGCCAGCTTCGACGATTTCCGGCACAGTTCTCGCCCATTCCGTGAAAAGTTCGTTCTCCTTCTCGCTGAAAATGTTGACCAGCCTCTGGTACCGGATTTCTATGCACTTCCCTTCTTCGCTATTCACCATACTGAAGCAGGCAGAAGTTTCTTAGGGAGTGGACACGCCACGGGGCTAAGTCCAAATCTCTGTAGAAGTCACTCACGGGTGTTGAATGGCTTTGAAAGATTGAACCGGCAGGTCGATGCGTTGCCGCAGCATGCTGGTGAACGTCAGCGACGCCGCCAACGGCGGAAGATCAATTAGCGCACCTCTGGTGCCGCGATTAAACAGCACTTCGACCACCGTCAGCTCGACGTTCAGCAGGTCCAGGATCCTGGTGTAACGATCCGTGAATTGCTTGCTTATCACCGGCCTGTCGAGCACCGAGCCGGCGATATTTATCAACTGAAAAGTCAATTGAAGCGAATCGAACAGTGAAATAAATAGAATTTCATACAATATTTTATCTGTATTCAATTATTGTTAGACTGCGAATACAGATACAGATCTTCGTGCACTTAGGAAAATTTGAATTACAGCACACGTTCTTCGCTTCATTAAGAATGCCACGGCATTTCAAAGAAGACCAATACTTTATTAACACTATTTCTACCGACACTCCACGTATACCTATTCCTACCGCGACCAGTCAAATGACAACTTATATTTTTTAATATAGAATGAAGATAATAGCCAATTTGACAGTATATAAATATAGTTTCTTTTATTTGGAAGTATATAATTTACATTTTATTCGTTTTCACCGCATTTTTTACAAATAGGTTTGTCGATTGTACATTTATCACACACATAATTTTTACATTTTAGACAGATTTTGTTAGTCTTATTGTTTGTGCATTATTTCATTTGGCATAGTTTCCGTTCGCGTGAACCTCTACTTGTAATTGTGACGGGCGTTGTTTGATTTTCTTTGCCTAACTCTAGTTCTTTTTGATATTCAATGGCAAGTTCTTCTGCCAATTGAAAGAAAAATTCCTGTCTCGAAATTTCTTCTCCCGTGGATTCTTTATATAAAATCCATGCATTTATACCGGCTAAATCTAGGATATTGAAAAATACCTGTAAAGGCCATCTCCGACAATTAGATTTTATCGATTATACCGAGGCCGATAGGCGAGCGAGAACTGTAAACACTTGGAAGTACCGTAAAGCAGTTCCTGAAAGGCACTTTTTGGCTAAAATCATGCCACAACTGCATTACGTTTCGTTTGTAACGACTTTATAGTATCGAGATTGAGTCTTTGAGTGAATACTATGACAAAAAGATATAAATCGTTCTACCGGTCAAATGAGCGGTCGTAGTAGGTAAGACAGACTACAAATTTTTCTCAGAAAATAAACAATAAAAAAAGGTGTGAACATTGAAAAATTATTTATATATATATTTTAGGAAAAGTCGTGAAGTATAAAGGCGGTTCAATTACGTTGTTTATAGGAAATCCTAATCGAAATTTTAAAAACAATCATTTGACTGCTCGCGGTAGGAATAGTGTTAAGGACTTCATCGTATCGAATTTCAAAGAATCTGCACAAAATTCGTAATAAACTTATTACAACTCCATCGAAGTCACCTTAAAAACGCTCTCCAAATTCCCACAGTCATCGAAAGCTTGACAAAGTATAGCAGCCAGTTTGCTGTCCAGATCAGTGATCGCATCGTTGAATTTTTGGCAGTCGATAGTGAAAGATTCGTCGTCGGGCTCTAACGCGTCGTTAGCTCTGACAGTAAAGGACACGAAAAGCTGCTGAAACTCTTTGTACACGTTGATTATTCTACTGCTGAGAGATCGACCGAGTATACCGCCGATCTCGATCTTCTCCAGCTTGGAGAACTCCATCACAGTATTGAACAGCCACTCGATATCCGCGAGTCTCTTGAGGAACGCGTCTAATCGCGTGAAAACCGCGCTGGAATTGAAGGTCCATGGCGGAGCGTGAGGCTTCATCGCGGGCATGTCCTTCCTCAGCTCGAATTGCTGCTTAAACTCGTCGAGGACTCCTAGGGGAACCATTCATATGTCTACGACTTGTTTGATGCTTTCGCAGCCAGGAATACTATGATGAGTGCTCAAAGTTTTCGGATACGAGCTGTGTCACTAGTATTGCCATTACTATCATTATTGTAGAATTTATTCTATCGTTCCCAGAAAATGTGTCTTATCAACTGGAGGTTTAAAAATAGATAATTAGTTTATATATTCGTGTAATTGCTTCAACCAAAATCAACGTGTAGACATTTACCAAGTTATATCTATAAAATCCAATACGTTTCAAATTGCCGTATTCGAATGAGTGATCACCAAAGATTCATTTTTAACATAATCTCACCACATTTTGATGCATCAGTATTAGTGAGACCAGTCACTAGATGATGCAAGCTGCATTTCTAGCGGAACGTCAAGAGATTGTTACTAATGGACACGGCTCACGCCGGGCAATTTTGAACACTCATCATACGTTTAAACATCGTTTAAAAGGTCTGTATCCGTCCACACGATCCGTCTTCGCGGTCTCTCTGTTTGCCGCTATTAACGAGATCGGGAAACTGATATTGGATGCGGCCGGGGAAGGATCGATTCCCGAGGAGACAGCAAGGATGGCGGCAGCGCCCACCTCTCGATATCTGGACGCGCTGCAACGCCTCGTCCACGTCGCTCTGAAAGATGGAGGACGGGTCGAGGAAGCGGCGGGCCTCCTGTATCAACAGGTTGCAAATCTGTCGGAGCATGATGATCACCTTGGACGAGCTCTGATAGTAGGTGGACTTCGACCAGGCTAATCCGACCGAGTGTATCAGCGTGGCCATTAACGGCTTAGCCTCGGAGAAATCGACTTCCTCGACTGCCTTGAAGGATTTCGCCAAGGGCGACAGGTACAACGAGATCTCTTTAGCTTCTGCCATCGAGGACACCACGTTATCGAACAGATTCCGGAAACAAGGGAAGTAAGCGCTGTCCGTTTTCTCGAGTATACTAGCCATCTTCTTTACGCGATCTTCTTGCAGCTGATCGTAAATGTATCTGAAAAATGGTATTTTGAAGAAGGATTATTGAGGATACAGAAATAGGATCAAAGGAAAAGGGACTTTCTATGCAGAATTTTGGGAAATTAGAATACAGTAAGTGAAGAAAATATTTAAGCAATGTCTAGTTTTTAACACTAACTAAAAATTACCCATTCTTCGTTTCTTCCCTTTGCAATTATTAACTCCTTGCACTCGGAAGTTGTTCAGTAGAAATATTTGAACATTTTCTGATGAGATAATGACGATATTTTGTGAAAATAACTGGAAGAGAGATCATACGTATATTGAGGAACAAAGCTATTTTATTTCAATATTTCTTAAATTGATGCATTATACAAGGTATAATATTAAATACCAAATTTTATAGTTTTACCGTATGAAATCTGGTGGTGAATGAGAGTCGCCTTTCGAGTGCAACGGGTTAAAAAGATGACAAATGTTTCTCTGAACCTGAGAAATTATTAAAGAAATTGATTTAGTAATACGCAAACTGATTGGAAATCTATTAACCCTTAATACTCAGAAAACTGCTCATTGTAAATATTCAGCATTTTTCAACGAAATATCGACGAGACTTTTTACAGCTGACATAAAGAGAAGTTATGTATGATTCGAGGCACAGAAGTGTTTTGTTGCCATGTTTCGTGTATCGGCACGTTGTACGAAGTTTGATATCGAATATCGAAGGTTAGGATTTCGCTGCTTCAAGCGACGTCTGAGAGTCGCTTCTCGAGTGCGAAGGGTTAACGTCTCAACAGATACACTCTTGGAATTTGTTTAGAGAAATTTCAAGAAGTCGTTTAAATTGAATTTTGGTGTTAAAGCTTAATTTTGGATTATCGCATCTTAGATTTTCGCATTACCTGATCAGCATTAATCAGCTCGTGACTGCCTAAAAGCATTTACCTCAAATTCGCTAATCTAGCAGACCAATACTCGAGCTCGACGTCTGGTGTGGGATTCTGTCCGTTCTCGAAAGCTGCGCCCGATTCCTGAGTGACAACGTCATTCACCAAATACGCCCACTTTATCACGACACCCTCGATAGCGCTCTTCAAGTACAGATCGGCTGCCTGAGGCCCCTCCGCTCGGACCAGCTTCTCCACTTCCGTTACCTTCTCCATTCCAGCTGGCATCGGGAGTACAGTTCTACCGTTCACCTGCCCCTTCACCTGCATTAACGATTAATCGTTAAGCCAGCTGAGAATTAAACATTTTCCTTCGACAACTCTTTCATTACTTGGTACAAAGTTCCCCGGAGAGCGTGAACGTGCCTACAGATGTCTTGAACCGCGACGTCAGGCAAATCTTTGTGGTTCTCCGGTTTTCTTAACAGAGGAGCGAATACATTATCCACTAGAGTAGCCAGTTGATCCACGACACGAGAGGATAAATCGCCGACGATCAACATCGAGGAGCAAGCCTCTTTTTCCTTCGGCAGGGGTGCTTGCTTGATTTTTACTGCATAAATACCTGCATAGAATTTTGAGCAGTTGGTGTATTATTCTATGAAATTTTCTCCTATGAACTATGAATCTTCATAGACTCTCATCATCTAACATAATTACTGTATGCTCATATAGTATTATCAATGTTCTAGAATATTTTTTCCAAAACATTTGCACCTACAAGCTTCCACGAGGATTACAAAGCACAGCACAGTCTCCAGCTTTCAGAGAAACTAGCAAGCATCAGGCTCCGAAACGCCAAGAACATTCCGGACTCACCTTTGGTCCTTTGACAAGGTATAGGGAACGAAGAGGACGCGACCAGCTGCGCGTTGGGCGTCAGAACAACGAAAAGCGCCGGCGGCAGCGGATTATCTAAAAAGTCCATCACAGCGTTCCGGTACTCCTCGGTGAGCAGCAGCCTGCCCCATTTTTCCGGCTTCAGTTTCAACGACTTCTGCACGAAGCCCCCGATGTACTCCAGTCGGAAGTCCGCTGGTCCATCCGGCGCGGCCATTTCTGTGTTCACTAGTAGGAAATCGGTCCGGTATCAATCTTATCCATGAAAAATTCGAAGGACCCTGGCGAATGGTCCGACGAGGAGGACATTTCTCGAGCGAACTCCGTAATATTCGCGATACTAGCGACGGGACCGTGATATTTCCAGAAAATGCAGGAAAGAAGGGGTGGCGAGGGTGAAAGGGTCGCGGGGGCAGGAAGATGGATAAATGCGAAAAATGCCAATGGTGGTCGTCGCACAAGCAGGTCAAGAGACCAGGCACCGACTGAACCCGAGAGCGACGTTCCAGCATTGGCCGATCGTGTCTTTGAGGTGAGCCCGTTCGTTGGCTCCCTATTGTCACGGGACGCACGGAATATACCGGCCCGTCGGCTGACATTGCACGCGATCCCGCCTCCCGCGTACTGGCAGGTACCATTTTACTCTTCCGCGACCGCCGCCGGAACGATATTAGTCCGTGTTTCGCGTCCGCGAATGCAGCCGCTTCCGTCCTCCCCTCTGACGAGGGAGAAGTGATCGACACGCGAATGTTCGCGCTTCCGCCTTAGTCGTTCCTAGACGACCCGCGGACGTCGACCGGCGACAGCGGTCCGTGGAAATGGTAATTGATACTTTCGTTGTCACTCTTTGTTTCGGTGATAGTAATAACATTTTATTAAATGCTGATGTCCAATGTGTTCAATGTATAGGGTTCAATTTTCAATTTTCCCGTTTTTAGGGGATGCGGTTATGATCGTTATGTGACGCTGATGGTGAACGATTGAAAGGATGCATGGATGTTCCTTGGAGTACTTTGAGGAATTCAAAACGTGAGTGAACCTTTGGTATTCTAATGTATTCTAGACGATAAATTGAAATTGCTTATTGATAGCTTTTTAAAAGTTAGTAAGCTGAAGATCTCTCAATGAGTCATTTCTAGGTAAATCTAATTATAAATTTATTCTGGTTCCAAATACGTTGCACTTCGATTGCACATTTTTAAACGACAACGTACATAAAGTTAGAGGACAAGTCACCTTAGGATTAATGGTTCGTGCAATACAATCGATAGGATCGATCGGTCGGATGAATACCAGCGGATTTTCGCTCGACGATGTCGTCGATTGTTCGTCTCGCGCACAATGCGCTAGCCGTGATCGCTGGAAAAACGTGGTCCCATGACGCTTGATCGCTTGCCAGGGACTGCCTAACCCCGATCAGGTCGATCGATCGGCCGTAAAAACGTGGAAACTGCGCTGACGTAAAAATAGAAAGGCCTCTCGTTGCCGCAGCTGTTTACCCTTGGATCTCAGCCAGGCTGGAATGGCCCGCGACACTTTTCGGTCATTAGAACCATTGTTTGGGCTTCGGAGATTAAGAGCGCGAGCTTTATGAATTGAAGGGTGGCACGGCACCCCCGTGACGTTCCATTATAGAACGGGATACGTACAGTGTATTAGTCTTTTCAATGTGACATTTGATAAGTTCCCATCGGCCATTATTTCGCAATTAATTTCTGAACTATTCAGGAAGAATATCTTCATAATTTGCAACAATTGATGATCAAAGAAGTATTTCTCTCGTATTCACCTTCTATAGATAGAAACTGATGTCGATCAAATCTTTCAAATTTGGAACCAAAATATAACATCGTGAGTTCAGATTTTATTGCAAGGGATCCCAAAGTTTGTTACTTAAAGAGGATCTAAGAGAAATAATTTCTGTCTCCAGAGAAGACGTCGCATCACCGATTCGATCCAAAAAGTCGAGTTCATCGTCTCATACATAATGATCAAACGGTTTCACCCCGTAAAATATACAACTAGTCGACTGTTAACAATGCCCAGCCCTCTAGCCGTCATTGAATTCATTGAGTCCGCTTTGAAGAGCAATAACCCCCGGAAACTCCCGTGAAACCCCCGAAAAAATGAAAGCGCGGGGTTAGGAGGGCAGAAGGGATGGCCATCTGGTGTTCCGTGGCCGCGGGCGAGCTTCAGACGTTTCGAGAGCGTCGATCAAACGATCGGGCTAATTCCCGCCGACAGATTAGCCGTTTTCCGAAAGGCTCGAGATTTTTCCGGTGCTCGAGCGCGTGCACGCGGCTTTGGACAGCGCGCCGCGCACAAAGGGGGGCCGGGCACGGCGCGCTTTTCATTTCGCGGCTGTGCTCTCTCGCCGTTCGTCGAATTAGGGGAAAAAGGGAAAGGAACGAGAGAAAGAGAAAGAACAGAAAGAAGGTAAAGGGAACACGAGCACCCTTGTGCCACAGCGTCAAATTACATCCACTAGTCCCTACACGAATTTCGCTCATACCGGATGCTCATCGCGCAAATTGGATCGACGAGGCCTGAGATCCCAACCAGACACCGAAAAGTGGTCCGTTTCTTCCAGCAATGTAAAAAATTCGCGAGAATATTCTGAGCAACTCAAGTTATCGCTGTCATTCAACGCGTCTATTCGCGCCGTTTGTTTCGGTAATTGTTTTGGAGCGTTTTACAATTCGTTACAGAACACGACGGAATATTTTAGAATACCATGGTTGTGTTTCTAGACGTGTATAGTTTGATCTATCTGTTAACAATTCATCGACTACACATTAAATTCTAGTTCCATTTGCGATATATGGATTAATAGATAAATCAAAGTCATAGAATCCAAATTTCACAATGCGATGTTCATTTCTCTCGCTGAAGACATCACGGTTCTAGTTAGCGAAACCATGTGTGACACCAGCCGCCAAAGTCTTAATATTCAATGACAGTCGACATCTGCCAAAAGACAACAAAGGGACAAATAAATCATCCTCCATCAGGCAATCCCTTCTGCGGAGAGTGACACGGAAGCAACAGTCTCCACTTAATCAATTCATGCCTCGCTCAGTGGATCCACCCCTTCCTAGCCAGGCCGCTCGAGCTTCATCAATCACTTTTCCTTAGACTCTACGTCCCTAAATTGAAATCGCCGAGCAAACACGACAGACGTAGAAAGAGAAACAAAGCAGCTCTCGTCCCGGCGACGAGTCAGCTAAACAATTTGCACCGGCGCGGCCAATGATTTCGGACGTTATCTACCCCTCGCCGAAATTTGTCCAGCCTCCCATTCGTCTTCGACGCGCGCTCCTTTATCGCGAGGCCCGACGATAATCGAGACAATGCGAAACAGATCGTTCGACGCCCGAAAGTCGGCTCTCTCTTCCAAGTTTCCTCTTTGTTCGCCTCAGAAATTGATGACCGTCGACCCCGCAGCTTTTTCGGCTTGCTAGCGCGCGCCTCGCGCGGTGATTTCTTATTTAGGGACCGTTTGAACCCGATGTCATTTTTCACGCACGCTTCCCCGACCGTTCATCCCCACGACGCGCCTGCCTACGAAACGTTACGCCCGTTCTCCTCACACTGTTTCCCGATTTTCTCTCGAGGCGGAGCGACTCTACTGTGAAATTAAACGGGCATGATTATGAAACCCGTGTACGGGGGATTTACGTGTATTCAATTTCGCTGTCTGGTTGGAGGAACGCGTCAGGGGCGGTTTTCTGGGCCCTGGAGAAATTGATAGTCCCGTCAATTTTCTTTGTATACTTGTTCTTTGATCTGGTGTTCCGATGGAACTTGAATGGTCGTTTAGAGAAATATAAATAATGACATAATTCTTTCAATTTCGTTAGGAAAAAGTTTCTAAGGATTGAAGGCTTATAAAATGGTATATCTCAAATGAAACATGTAGAAAGTCTAAGAAAAATGGAGTGATAAGAATTTTTTCTCAAGTGTTTGCCCATCACTTTATCGGCAACGAGTATTTTATAGCCCACCGAACATCACGAGGGAGCCGCAAGAGCTCTCTGTATTTTCGAAAGTTATCAAACCCCCAGTAAAAATGTGTGTTAAAGAAAAATACGAGCTGGTAGAGAGTGGTCCCTGAATGCAACCCTCGGTAGAGTGATTATGTTTTCGCGTAATCCGGAAGCGTTACTCGCGACAGAAGGCTATCCCGTTGAACGGGCCGAGGACAAATAAAAGTGGAACAGTCTCCATGAACTTCGACCCTAATCGAGTGGCAGCGGAAGAGGGAGGCGTTCGCGAGAAATGGCGACGCATCTGGCAGGATCCACGAACGGAAAGTTCCCTGTAAGGGGAGAACTTAAAGCTCCTCGCGTGCCTAGGGGTGGCAAGATGTCACTTTGCGAGCATGTACGCGCATACGTGGCGGCCCAACGAACGATATTATGATAATCCGGGCATTGTGTATTGACACTCCACTCGGAGAACGTCGAGGGGGCTGTTAATAAGACGCAACCTTTAAAAGTGGCTCCGCGCTTTGGGGCGGGCGAAGGCGGGAACACGTGGCAAGGTGGAAATTGGAGAATCTTTTCTTCCAGAGGCAACGATTTGATGATATGAGACGCAGATTTTTATACTTTTGAAAAAAGAATAATTGTACCGGAAGAGATTAACATTAAGAAAAATTGAGAATTGAAACTTGAGATTCAGAGAAATTTGAGATGACATCTTAAGATTAAGGTAAATTAAAGATTAAATCTTAAGAGTAAGAAAAATTAAAGATTACATCTTAAGATTAAGGAAAATTAAAGATTGAAATTTAAGATTAAGAAAAATCAGAAAGTAAAACTCAAGATTAAGGAAAATCAAAAAATTAATTTTTCATATAATTTCACTCTTCTTTCTACTATTTTGAAAGATTCAGATTGAAATATGTTAAGGTAAATATAAGATTGCCATAAGGTAAATTAAAGATTAAATCTTAAGAGTAAGAAAAATGGAAGATTACATCTTAAGATTAAGGAAAATTAAAGATTGAAATTTAAGATTCAGAAAAACCCAAAAGTAAAACTCAAGATTAAAAAAAATGGAAAAATTAATTCTTCCCACAATTTCATTCTTCTTTCTACTATTTTGAAAGATTCAGATTGAAATATGTTAGAAATATGTTGTTCGCAAATATACAGTAGAATATAATTTCATTGAACTTCTACTTCAATCATGTTACTTCAAATACATAGTACA